TACGTGGAAGGGTTAATCCTTCTGTGGCAGATTTACAATGATGATGATTATGCTTAGTAAGTGTTCTTTTTGTTTTCCTTTGGAGTTGCTCGAGATCTGTGTGAGTCCAATGTATAACTCCAAAAGAGTATGTGAGTACCGAAATAACATATGTGTTTATTGCTTTAACTGTGTGTTTTGCATTTAGCTGTGCTTTGAGAATAGCATTTAACCTACTTTGGTATTCTTTAATTAATCTTTGCTTTATTTGTTCTGTTAGTTTGGCCTGTTGGAATCCTAAATACTTGTAGAACTCGCCCTCTTCCATGGATTCAATAACGTCTCCATTTCCAAGTGCAAAATCTTCTTTCTTCAGGATTCCTTTTTCTATGTGAAGTGTTTTGCATTTGTCTAAGCCAAACTCCATTTGTATGTCTTTGGTGTATGAATGTGTGATTTGTAGGAGTTGATGAAGTTGTTTGTGTGGATGCATAAAGTTTTATGTCGTCCATGTACATGAGATGTGACAGCGTAAACTGTGTTGTTTTTTCATGCCTGATATTATAGCCATATTGCGTGTTGTTTAACATGTTGGATAATGGGTTCAGGGCTAGGCAGAACCAGAAAAAACTCAAGAAATATCCTTGAAAAATTCCTTGCCTAATGAATATTTGGTTTGTTTGTATGGAAGTGTTACTAACTCTGAGATGTTGTTTGTTCTCATAGTGTTTTGGAAGAATGTAATGAGTGAAGGATGTATTTTGTACATGTGTGGAATATGTAGCAGCCAACTGTGTGGAACACTGTCGAATGCTTTTCTGTAGTCTATATATGCCATGTGTATGTTTCTGTGTTGTTTGTGTGCTTGCCGTAAAATGACTGAATCTATGAGTAACTGTTCTTTGCATCCCCTGTGATTTCTACGGCAACCTTTTTGTTGTTCTGTAAGAATGTCATGTTCTTCAACATGTTTGTATATTTTGTTTGTGATACAGGATGTCAATAATTTGTAGAGTGTTGGAAGACATGTAATTGGTCTGTATTGTGTGGGGTCTGTGGTGGTGTTGTTTTTAGGTTTCATGTAGGTGATGTCGAGTAAGAAATTTTGGCATGTCTTGTGGATTGATGATGATGTATGTTAGATGTTTAGCTAGTTCCCGGTGCTGTGATGTAAATTTTTCATACCAGAAATTGTGAATGTTGTCTACACCAGGTGTCTTCCAGTTGTGTGTTCTGTTAACAGCGTAGCAGATGATGTGTACGTTTATTTCAGCACAGGGCATAGTTGGTATGTTGTGCAAGTTTCTGTTCTCCTCCTCGATCCAGCCTGCATCAGCATTGTGTGTAACAGCATTGGACCAAAGAGAAGACCAATAAGTTGCAAGTTCTTCGTCTGTTGGTGTACCACTGTGCTGTGTATCAGTGTTTGTTTTGGTACTAATTTGTCTGTAAAAGTTTTTTCGTTGTTTGTAAATAACATATTTTGTTGTTTTCATAGTGTACATGTTTTGTATCGTTTGAGTCTATGTGCTTTGGCTGCAAGTTTTTGTTTTAGTGTATTGATGTATTCTGTAATGTGTGTGTTGTTATGTTCGTGTTTTGTGTGTGTTTTGATTTTCTCGAAAAACATTTTCAAGTTGAGTTGAAATGTTTGAGTTGTTTCTTTAATTTGGGTGTTATATTGTTTTTAGTGTATTGTGTCAGCCTGCCTAATTGCTGTCTAATGTCATTTATTTGTGTTTCTATTCTTCTCTGCCAGGCAGTCTTGTGATAGAATTGTTTTGTGTGTATCTGTCTGTGATTGCATTTTCAGTCCATGGTGTGTCACTTCTGTGACTGCCCCAGCATAAACTAAAGTATGAATGTCTGAGAGTGTAGAAATTAAATCGATGTAGTGTGGTAGTGAGTGTTTACATAATTTAGTGTTTTTCCTACTACCTTTGACATGTTGATTTTTGGTATTCATGCTCTTTTGATAGAACATCAAAAGTAATGTATAATAAATCAAGATATACTGAAATATCACTTGAGAGAAATAATGAAAAAAGGAAAATAAGAGAGCATTTTTTTATTATAAAAACATTAAGAGAAAATATAAATTCATTATATTTAAATGTGTGTATAAATGTGTTGACATGAGAACTTGAATGTCATGGAGAAATTTTGTAAAGTGGCAGTTGTAAGTTGTTTAAAAAGTATTTATGTACCTTTGTATTTTTAGTTTTTATTGTTTGTAAGCAAAACTATATCATATGATGTGTAACGTAACAACATACTAATGAGGATTGGAAGATCAAAATGCATTTATGAGAAAAATAAAGGAAATAACAAAGTAATGGTTTTAAAGTTTTTAATTCTGGTTTATAGTTATTTTAATATTCACTTTGGGTGAAAAGTTAGGAAAGTGAAAGAAATTACTAAGTTCTATCAAAAATTTATATATTTCTAATACAGTAGAACCCCTCTATTCCGCCCTCGGCTAGTCCGTCGCTCCGGTTAATCCGACCATGGTCGTAGTCGAGAAACTTGTCCCGACTCGTCGGTGACTCACCGTCCATGGCGTTTTTCTGTGTTCGTTACAGTATATGTTTTACATAATGTGTACGTGTACAGTTTTGTGTGTGTTTTCAACATGTCGGGAGTGAAACGTAAACACGTTACTCTTTCATTAAATGAAAAATTAGCGGTGCACAAAGACTGGACAAAGGGGAAGATTGTTATTTTATTTTTTTCTGATAATCCGATTTTTTTTGCGTTCCGACCATACCCCCAGTCCCAAAGGTGATGGATTAGAGGGGTTCTACTGTATTTTAAGTAGTTTATTTCAACTTTGGTAAATACAGAAAGTTAAGAATAATTTTTCTTAATCTTTTTTAATAGATTTAAGAGCTGAGATGACTACAATACTTTGTAAAAAGAAAATACTCTCATTTAACTAAAATTAATATTAAGGCATAATATTTTTTATTGTGATTGTTAATTGATTGGAAATGAATTATCAATTACCTTAATAAACATATTTCTCTTAGTAACTAAAAAGAATTGTATGCTTTTGCTAGCTTCTAGAACCTAACTTTATGTTTTGTATTAGTCCTTTGTTTTCTATAGCACAGATTTGCATAACAGTGCATTTTTTCGGAACATTGTATATATACAAGATGCAGTGCCAAAATTTAGACAAATTACACATTTTTTTCAAACATATTTTTTATTGCGAAAAGGTTTACAAATTTTTTTTATCACATTGTTTGTAAGGCCATAAAGAATACATTTACTCAATATATCCCCCTCCTGCTTGAATGACTGCCTCCATTCTTGGTCTGAAGTGTGCGCAGACACACTTTAATGTGTCATGGTCCATATCGGCAAATGCCGCATCAATAGCAGCTGTCAATAATGCAAGGTTTGGAAAGTCCAAAGGATTCAAATCTGGACTGTTGGGAGGCCAGAATTCTTTCGACCAAAACATGATGATGTCCAACAACCAATTTTGCACCAAATGACTGACTCACTTTNAAATAATTTTTAACGACACAATAGCGAAGATTATTATTTAAAATAAAATTTTGTTAGGTTAACATCGATGAAAATTCAACGCAAAGTAGGTTAATAGTGATATACTAATATACTAATTACATGGGATATACTAATATACTATACTAATAATGTATTTTACATATTTTTCAGTTATCCGTTTTTTCAGTTATCTGACCAATCCCAGTCCCCAATTGAGTCGGATAATCGATGCTCTACTGTAATTTAATTCATATCTGCATACCATATTGGGATAACGATAAAATAAGACACACTACAACCAATAACTGGTATGAAGTACAGCTAAGCAATAAATAACAAATGTTTTCATAATATGAAAATATTAAATCTAATTTAACTAATTTTGGATTAATCAAAAATTAAAGTTATTAACACAAACACCAAAGAATTCAGTGTAAAGCAAAAATATTCTATGATACTAATATTTTCATTCATCTACAATGAACATCATTTGTGTTATTTGCTGCATATACAACCACTTTGATTTGTGATATGATGATGTCCAACAACCAATTTTGCACCAAATGACTGACTCACTTTTAATTATGCAAGACATGTAGCAAAGGTCTTCCTCAACGATTCTATGCATAGTTTTCTCACTCATACCAATAACTGATGACAATTTTCAGATTGACTGACCTGGATCCTCAAAAATCAGCTCCTGAGCCCGTTGAATGATTTTGGACATCCTGATAACATACTCCTTCAAATGAGTTTTCCTTGCCAGTGTTGTAAAACCTTTATTGGACTTCTCCAACTCATTGTACTTTGTGACGACGTCATACACAGTCAATCTCGGATACCCAAAGAACCGAATGATTTCTGTTGCTGAGCACCCAGTGCAAATACTTTCGATGATCGCAGCTCTTCGGTTATACTCTGCACTTGGTTTCAACATTGTGACTGTTTTGAGGTTATGATTTAGTATGTGTCAAGATATTTGAACACCAAGCACAACATCTACCGATGGTATAGGACAGCAGGAATTTGAAATTGAATTTTGTCTGGATTTTGGTGCTGCACCGTGGACAATGACACTACAGTGTAAATACTACAATACAGCTCTCCCTTGATAGTCCAACGTTTTTTAATCCGACATGCTCAGTAGTCCTATGCATCTCCCGTCAAGGTACCCGTTCCTATTATGTGTGTGCTTGCACAGAAGCATGTTGCGACGTGAATCTCCCCATCCAAATCTTACACGATGACACACATTTCGTGTGGTTTCTGTGAGCAGTTCTGTTCGAACAGTTCAAGTAGGGAATATTGTAAGCTACTGCTAGCAAAACAATGCAAAATATGTAATTATTTTCGGTAATCTGGACACTTTTGTTAATCCAACACCCCTTTGGTCCCATACATGTCGGACTATTAAGGAGAGCTGTAATATATTTTTCGAACACTGATTTTTATAAATATTTGTAAATTTTTAATTTTATATAAAATAAAATTTGACTATATTTCAGGTCGAATGGACTGAACCCTGGATAATAATCTTAATGATGACACATGGTTTTATTACATTTCTAACATTAGTTACTAGACATCATGGAAACTTTCAAGCAGGATTCTTTTGTATATTATGTAAGATTACATTTTATTGTTATATATAAACTAATTAGTGAAAATTGTTTATGAATTATTTTTATTGTATTTATGAACAGTTGCAGATAAGTTTAGAATTTGCCAGTGTAAAAATTACAGTAGAGCTTTAATTATTATGCCTTTTTGTCCTTTTTTTTAATAACTCTATTTAAAATTTATTTTGTATTACTAGTACATTCTATATATTAACAGGACTTATTTTACTGGAATTATGGATGCAGATATTTAGTCTTACAATTCAAAAATAATGTTCTGCATCCATAATTCCAGTATAATAAGTCCTGTTAATATATAGAATGTACTAGTAATACAAAATAAATTTTAAATTACAGTAGAGCATTGATTATCCGACCCCTGATCAACCGTCACATCGGTTAACTGACCACGTTCTAGTCGGGAAATTCAAATGTCTGCTGGTGATGCGGCGCTATAATATTTGACTATGTCTTGGCTACTTTAATATTATTTTTGTTAAATTTTTGATGTTTTAGCTGGCAACACTGGCTCGACCATGAAAGGGAGGCAAGTATTTAAACGAGGCTTAATTTTCTGATTATGAGTGGTTTTGTTTTGTAAGCAATAAAATAATTTTAAAATAATTTTTAACGACACAATAGCGAAGATTATTATTTAAAATAAAATTTTGTTAGGTTAACATCGATGAAAATTCAACGCAAAGTAGGTTAATAGTGATATACTAATATACTAATTACATGGGATATACTAATATACTATACTAATAATGTATTTTACATATTTTTCAGTTATCCGTTTTTTCAGTTATCTGACCAATCCCAGTCCCCAATTGAGTCGGATAATCGATGCTCTACTGTAATTTAATTCATATCTGCATACCATATTGGGATAACGATAAAATAAGACACACTACAACCAATAACTGGTATGAAGTACAGCTAAGCAATAAATAACAAATGTTTTCATAATATGAAAATATTAAATCTAATTTAACTAATTTTGGATTAATCAAAAATTAAAGTTATTAACACAAACACCAAAGAATTCAGTGTAAAGCAAAAATATTCTATGATACTAATATTTTCATTCATCTACAATGAACATCATTTGTGTTATTTGCTGCATATACAACCACTTTGATTTGTGATTTAATATATCAAAAGTTTATTATTAGTTTATATCAGTTAAACTAGTTTTTTGGAATTTTAATACAGAATTTTTTAATTACTAATTAAATAATTTAAAATTTATTTATGTATAATAAATTAATATAAACTTTAAACTTTAGTGTGAATAATGAAAATAGTTGTTTTTGTTCTTAATTAAATTGAATTTATTTACTTTATTTTATATACATACATATATTTTTAATCCATATTTTGTTTTGCAATTTATGCTGTTGATAATGAATTGCATTCAATCTGAAACAGGAATTAGCAAGCATTCAATAAATTAATAGATGTTTTTTTTAGCTATACTCGTCGTTTGTACTACAAATTCACTCACTCACTCGTTACATCAGTACAAAAAGTTTTGCTAGTAACAAGTGTTTAAATTCTTTTGATACTTAAGATGTCCTCAAGATAACATTAAATAGAAAATTATTGTATGTGAAGAGGGGGGAATTTTCAACAGAGCTATTTCCATGCTATTTTATGACTTTTATATTGTTTTTGTGATTTGTTAGCAGATACAACTTAATATTGATAAAATTGATTACAGTCTATATCTGTGGGTTCTTCATTCACAGATTTAGCCAATTGTAGATCAAAAATATTAAAATTCTAAAAACATTCCAAAAAGTAAAACTTGAATTTGCATGTATTTTAAATATTTTGTGTTGCTCTATGTATTTCTCTTTCAGGTCATTGAACAAAAGCAATCTGTAAATGTTGAAAGAAAAAAAAATGTTACATTGCTACTGTATAGTATGTAGTTAAGCTTGAGATGGTTAATCTATACTGAACATGTAGTCCTTTTCCTTGTTGTTATTTCTTGAACAATACAGTACATGTAATTACCCTTTGATTTGAAAGGGTAATTAATTCCTCAATTCTATTGTCTATATCAAAATTGCATTAACATAGATACCATATTTTGATTAAGTAGAGACAACTGGTAAAGCTGCATAAATTAAAACTTCTGCCACGTATATAAAGAGATTGCTGCAGTTAATTTCACGTATTAATCAAATTCTGTGTTATGCAAGGGATGCCATAATTATGTACATAACATTTACATTGTATTAGGTATTTTAAGTCATCTAGAGATGATTTAAAGTATAACTTATAGAAGAATGTGTGTAGATTATATGCAGATACTATGCCAGTTTATATAAAGAAATTGAGCATATATGAATTTCAGAATCTTACTTTTTCCAGTACACAATTTTATTATAACACAAACATTTTTGGTCTTGTTTAGGGACCTGCATCAGGATTTCAAACAAAAAATTGAGTATAATAATAAAATTGTTTGCTGGAAAAAGTAAGGAAGATAGTCTCTTATTGTTTATAAGAAACTTCCAACTTTTGAGGAGTCTTTATATGCATCATGATTTCAAATTAATTTTGGTATATGCAATAAATTTTATAAGTATTATACTGTAAATTCATAATAATCGCTGATAAAAGTTTGAAGTGTTGAAAATTTAATATATTAAACTGAATACAGTAGATCCCCCTATAAGACGGGTTCCTATAATTACGATTCCTATAAGACGGCGAAAAAATTGTGGCAGTATCCGTAAACAACGGTAAAAAAAAAACTCCTATAATTACGTAAAACGTCATCAGGCAGCCGAACTACTTTCCGCCGTCCAACGCCACGCTACGGACAGTTTAGGCGGGTAAATTGAGTTTAGTATCATCTGTACATATAATTATATGTAAATTAGGTACTGTATATATAATTATATATTAACTTAATTTATTGTAACTTTATTATAATTATATATATACTTTCCGCCGTCTAGTGCCACGCTACGGAGAGTTTAGGCGAGCTATTGTCTGTACAGTATGTAAATTAGGTACTGTAAGTCTAATACAGTACTGTAATTTTATACATTTCTTGTGAAAGAAACATTTCTTATTCAACGGCGATTAAAATTATTTATATTAATGATGTCTCCAAAGTTCAACGAAGTTTTCGCAGAAAAATAACATCAGAAATTGCGGCCGCGGTTTGCTGCGCTGTTCCGCGACGAAAACAAGCTTGAGCAATGGTGATGTCGAATGGTGCACACTCGGTAAGTAATCCTACAATTTTTTGTTTATAGCGTAGTTTATACAGATTATTTCCAAAAATATATATGTATTTTGGAAATGTTGAGTCGGATTAGTCTAGAATCGATTAATTTTATGGAAGAAAACCTTTCAAACAGCCGTAGTTCGTAAACTTCACATGTGTCGGGCTGTGATTCCTACAAAATTGATTCATAAAGAACGGAACCTATCTACCGTCTTATAGGGGGATCAACTGTATAATCAATGGTTTTAATGTAATTATAAAAGTTCTTTTATACCGATGGCATTATTCCAAAAATAGAATGTCTAATTTATAATACAACCAATATTAAATATAAATAATAGAGTAATAGCAAGGAATCAAATATAAAAGCACATTTCTATGAATTTCTTAATTTATAGGATGGAAATGTATTTTCATGACACTGTAAATTACAGCTAATAATACCTTTATTCATTTGCAATTATTAAACTATTAAAATACGTATATTAAACTAGATATTAGAAAAATCTGGATGTATTATATAGTAAGTCTTCAATGTTATTTTGTTATAAAATTGATGAGAAAAAATAATTTATAATCCTTTACAACTGTTGTTCTCTTAATTATTATTGAATTTTCTTTATAAACAATAAAAATTGATTCTTTGAGATGCGAATTTAAAACTGGAGGTTACAGAAACTAATCCAATAAGAATAATAACCAAATTCTTCTTCCAAAATCTGATTTAACAGTTTTTATATATTATACTTTCACCTACTTTGAAATGTAACCTATATCCACATTAACAATACATAAGGCATCATTTAATGTCAATGTAAGTTGTAAATAAACTTGCCCTGTTTGATTTTGCCATTTTAAATTTATGCAGTGCTCTCTGCAGTTTGTTGGAATTGCCAATTGTCTGTACTTGAACTGTGTGGTGGTAGGAGATTCTTACATTTTTTGCTTTGCAAACATTCTTAATTAATAATCTTTACCATCATCAGTGATGAGGATTAAATTCTTTTTCCCCCCATACCACCCATTACCACTATGACTGCCATCACTCATTGATATTCACAAAAACTTGGGTAATTAATTAGTTTACTTGTTTATATTAATCTTTCTTAATTGTATGAATAGCTCAAATTTATTTCAATGTTTAATATTAGAAGTGCTTTGGGTCTTAGAAGTTTGGTGATGTTTTTGTGAACAGAAACATGCCACAAGATCTTAACTCTTGTTTTTATCAATTGGCCTGTGGTAAAATTGGTTTTGTTATATATGATTTTGCTTAAAGTTGCAGTTTCCAAGAACTTATCAGCAATAATAAGTGAGGACTTAATATACTTTTATAATTTACAATATTCGTTGTTTTTTTAATAGATGATGATAAATTGATTAGAAATTTGTCATTGAAATTTCATAAAAATTTATTAGAAACTATTTTGTATTCTTAGTGGAAAGCTTATAGTAATTGTGACATAATTTAAATTGATCTGTAATTAATCAAAATTGATTTCTGTACTTTAGAAATTATAACTGCTTATTTAGGAAACCAAAAATTCCATAATAAAATATTTTGGGTTTTCTGAGTAAGCAGTTATAATTTCTAAATTAATAGTGCCAAGCTTTAAGGAACACCTTAATTCATATACAGTACATTATTCATTTAAATTTGCTAATTTAAATTTTTTTATAATTTCTTGCTGATTTAATTTATATATTATTTTGTAGATATAGATAAAACATATTTTGGAATATTTTCATGTAGAAATTAGATTTATTTCTTGTAAGCTGTTAGTTTTAATCAAGCAATGCAATAATTATTATTCATACATTTGTTTCATGCATTAATTTTCTCAAATGAGTTAGTTTGTAAAAATCTCTTTGATGAAAAATATTGAAGTAATAAAATATAAGGGATCTTTCATCAATATTTTTGATTAATTGACTTTAAGATTCCATTTAAAAACTTTTTTAAAGCATTTTTATTTTATTTCAAAACATTATTTTATTAAATGATACCTACTATAACAGGTTTTAAATTTTAATAGTTAATTCTTTAAAAAATTCATTGTCTAATTATTAGTGTATGAAGCACATTTAACAAGGAAATATGAATTTATTGAAATGCAAAAATTTATTTTTGAAATGAATTTTATTTTTTAATTATAAACAATTATTATTGATTAGATAAGTTTTTAATTCACATTAAATATATTTTACAGTATTACTAGTGTATTTCTCTGAAACACTAAATGAGATTGCTGCAAAAAATTGGAAGTAAGTTCAGTAAGATTTTACTTAATTTAAATAATTTTCAAATAATATTTTAAGTATAATTTGAGATAAAAATTTTAATTGCTTAAAAAATTACATCTAAAGTAATTTATTTTTAATTAATGGTGTTTATTATTGTTTATTTAAATGTTTATAAAGTAAAATATTTTCAATAGGTATTTTGCCAGACATCAGTATTTTGATAGCAGTGGATTATTCATATCCATTGTTTTCTCTACACCATTACTTTTAAATTGTCTTGTGATGGTTGTAAGTAAAATTTTTTTCATATTTTATATGTTATAATAATAATAATTTTGTAGAAATTATTATAAATCAGTTTACTTTTAGATTTTTAAATTTTATTATTTTTTTATTTAAAGTTTTTATTTTTTTGCTCAACATGAGGGGAAGAAAATAATTTATTATTATACAGTATTTAGTGGGTTATACTTTGTTGATACTGGTGGCTGTGTACTTTGCCAGACCAGAGTCAAGCAAGCAAAAACTAAAATAAGTGTCTTTCTGTATTCAGAAATTTCCTAACAATGTGGCATGTATTCAATATAGTGGCCTTCTGTAGTGTTATGTATGTATTTCTATTCAATTGTAATGTTCCTAGGCTTTTGTGTAGTGTGTGTGGTATCACACCTGTACAGGAGAGAATGACAGGTACACACAACTTTAATACATGCATATATAAATAAAAATTAAAATATCCATTTAATAAATATTTAACACCTTTATAATGCTGAGAAATATTTATTAAAACACAAACGTTTTCAGTCTAATGGAATAGGCCATCATCAGGTAACAGGCTATCAAACTTTGAAAATTGTGTTAAACAGAACTTTTGAACATTACAAATTCAAAATTAAATAAATTAACCAATCACTATACAAAATAACTATAATAAATAGATTGAATCCATATTAATATAAATAATAAAGTGTGATATAAAACTAAAAACAAAAATAAACCTAAAAGATTAAATGCACAAAAGGATTAAATTCATAAAAATATATATAGCAAAAAGCATTGCATTAAAAAGGTAGATAGTAACTAAGAATTTGTGTGTTTTAACTTCTCTTTTTTACAAAGAACTTCCATGCTGAAGCTAAACCATCAGCATCCCTTGCATTGATACAGCCATCCCTTAATTTACTCTTATAAATTTCAATTTTTTCATGTTGCAAAGCCAACGATGGGGACCGTAACGTCTTGAGAATAGATGCTTCATTCCATTTAACTACTGAAGCCTCCGCTTGTGCCATACTTGACAAAACCATGGTACATTGTGCTTTACTAATGTCATATCTGTATTCTTTAAGCCTAATAACCAAATTCCGTCTAGTGACTCCAATATAGTCCTTCATAATTCCTAGCTGTTGGTTTTCAAAGGGAATTTTATACATGCCTGCTGTTTCTTCTTTCTTAAGCTTGTCCTTATCGTTTCTAAGAATACTATATAAATTAGGACCTCTTTTGTAAACAATTTTGGAGTGTTTTCTGTCTGAAACTTGCTTCATGATGTCCCTGAAGTTTTTATTATATGTAAATTTGATGATCTTAAATTGATCTGCTCCAGTTCTTAATCTCTTGCCTCTTTCATAATTTTTTATTAGCCCTTCAATTGTACTTTTGAGGTAACTCAAATTTGAAGCTACTTCCTTAATTCTGTCCATCTCTTTAATCCTGTCCAATACATTGGAGCAATAAGTAAATGCTCTCCTAATGAGTGCACGAAATGCTGACATTTTGTATTCATGCGGGTCATTCGAATTAGCTGGTATGTAGAGAGGATTGTGCATAGGTTTTATGTAAATGTTCATTTTTATGCAATCTCCTTTTAATTGTATGTCTGTATCTAGAAAATGTATTCTTTCGTGACTCTTCTGCTCTAGTTTCAGTTTCAAACCATTGTTGGTGTTGTTAATAACCTGTATAAACTCGTGTATTCTTTCACCGTTTCTCCATATAATGCACACATTGTCCACATATCTTTTGTAGATTATAATATCTTTTTTGAAGCTATTAACAACTTGCTTTTCTAAGTTGCATAAAACCAGTTCGCATAACAACCCTGACATTGGGCTTCCCATAGGTACGCCTTTCTTCTGTCTGTATATCTGCTTGTCATAGCCGAAGAAGGACTCATAACATATCAACTTGGCTAATTCCTTCAAATCATTCTCAAATGCACCAACTTCCGGGTTTATGCAGAGCATAAATTTGATTAAAGCTTCATAACAGGATTCTATCCTTACCGATGGATACAGGCTTTCAAAATCCATAACGGACCCAACTTCTTCATCCATTAAACTTAACTCTTGTAACTCCTTAACGACATTGGTCAGGTTATGTGCAACAAGATCACTGTTACATAATAGATCTGAAATGAATATGTAAACGTTTTTCCAAAATGTACGTGGGCCCTCTGCATTTCTCCACCACTGGTCTGACCTCTTTGCCTTCCTTATGTATTTTTGCAAAGGCAAATATTCTTGGAATTGCTGGGTTCGGGTTATGAGATCGTTTAAGAAAAGTTAATGTGGAACTTAATGGAGCTTGTTCAAGTTTTTTTTACTCTTCTGTCTATGTTTGAGACAATGCTTTTATTTACCTGCTGTCTATGTATTGTGACAATGCTTTTTATTCTGTTCTTCTGATATATTCTTCCAAGGCTTTGTTATAGCTTTTTCTTTCCATTATAACCATATGTTTACTCTTGTCCACTCGTGTTAGGACCAATTCGTTGTCATTCAACCACTGTTTTTCATGTTTTAGTTGTTTTATTTCCTTGTTCTTCATTCTGCAGGTGCGATCCCTAAGAACAGTCTTCCATCGGAAAAAATCCCTTTCTAACTCATTAAATTCTAATAATCCTCTCTCCATTTCCACTAATGAAGTTTGCCATAAGTTTTCCGTCTTCCGGAACAAAGTTAGGACCTTTTTGTAGAATTTCCTTGATTTCAGTTGGGATGTGAACTTGGTCCCATAAAACAAAAGGCGATGGGTTTACATTTGTTTTTTTCTTTTTTGGTACTTGCTTACTCAAGATCCATGTCATTTTCTTGATATATCTTTTCCTTAAACTTTTTTTACCTTTTCTGTCAACATGACCACTTTCGCATTAAATTCATTGAGACTTCCCAGGTGGTTAATATATATTTCATTTTCTAATGCAATGAGATCTTATAATATTCCATACCTTTTATTTTTTGTGATTCTGATGGATTTACATAGACAGTCTTTTCTAATTTTTTCTTTCAACAAAGTACATTCCTTTGGAATATATATTCTATAAATAGACATTGGGAAAATCTTGTTAAGTAGACATTGCTTAAGAAATTCCAGCTTACTATCCGCCTTTATTAACTTCAATACCAATTTCCTATATTCCTTATATTTCCTGGCCGGTGTCGCCATATTGGCAATAAATTGAATATCAACTCAGCTTCTTTTAAAACATTTAATAAACATTTAACACCTTATAATGCTGAGAAATATTTATTAAAACACAAACGTTTTCAGCCTAATGGAATAGGCCATCATCATCCATATTAATATTTATATTAATATGGATTCAATCTATTTATTATAGTTATTTTGTATAGTGATTGGTTAATTTATTTAATTTTGAATTTGTAATGTTCGAAAGTTCCATTTAACGCAATTTTCAAAGTTTGATAGCCTGTCACCTGATGATGGCCTATTCCATTAGGCTGAAAACATTTGTGTTTTAATAAATATTTCTCAGCGTTATAAGGTGTTAAATGTTTATTAAATGTTTTAAAAGAAGCTGAGTTGATATTCAATTTATTAAAATATCCCTATGATATTACTTAAACAAACCATGTATTTATCACCATAAAAGAAAAAATGGACAAAAAGTACACTTTGAAATAATTTATTTACAAAGATTCCTGAAATAGGATGTAATGCCAAATGATTCAAAAAATAAATTGCTATGTTTTTAATAATGACTATCTTCCCAACTCCTACTTGTCCTACTTTTTGTTAAAATGTCCTACTTTTTGGATGTAAAATTATTAATAAATATATTTTTGTAATGTTTGGCCATTTTGACTGGATCAAAAATTATTTATAGATTTGTTTTTAAAACTGCTATAGCTCTTTTAATCTTAGTTTTGTATCTACATTGCACAGAAATACATCTCACATATATAACAGGAATTTTAAAACTAGTCAAATTATGTAAATTTTTTCACCTCCCAGTGTGCCAAGAAAAAATGAACATTTAAGATCAAAAATGTTTTATTTTCAACAGTTAGCCTTTTTAGCTACTTTTTTACATAATTACTATTTCAATTTAGGCTTTTATCATATTATGGAATCAGTTTTCTATATCTTTATTAAAGAAAGTAGCTATGTAGTTGCTCAGCCAACCTTTCACACTAGACTTTCGTTACCTTGGAATCATTCCCTTTTTCTCACTGCTTCATGTAAGTGAACAGCTGGAAATCACATAATCCTGAGTCTGGACTGTGTTGCAGATTATCAAACACTTCCCTGTAAACTTCTGGTGTTCCCATGTCTGTGTCACAGTGTGAGGATAAGCATTATGTTGGAGGACAATACCCAATGATAACATTTTCTTTTCTTATTTTTTATTGCCCATTGTAGTTATTGAAGAGTCACACAGTATACAGCTGCAATGATGGTCATCCAGACTTCATGAATTTGGTCAACAAAACTCTTCAATTCCAAACTCAGTTGTCATAAGCTTTTTGTTAATTGTCTGCTTGAACTCTCTTGGAAGTTAAGACCCAGTGGTCATCCACTATTTGGTCTCTTGTCTCTACATTTTCAAACTTGACCCATTGCTTGTCGTCCATCACTGTCTTGTCCAAAAACTCATTGCCTTCTGCATGGTAGCACACCACAGAAATGTCAAGGTTAAGTCAATTTATTGCATTTTATGATTATCACTGAGTTTCTCTGTTACAATGTGGTAGAGAGCTGACCTTTATTTGAGGAATTCAAAGCAAACATGATCTTTCAATTAACTATTAATTCTCGAGTTCTATTAATGATCATGAATTTTTGTCTAGAACATTTTTTTCATGGTATGCATATTTTCAAGATATTTTGGGTGACTAATTAAAATGTGACACCCTCTGTATTGATGGATTTACATCTAAATCATAGTCATAAATTAGCATAATTCAATTATTTTTTCTACTTTATCTTGGCAGAATTAATATTTCACTGTAAAATTTGAAAGTACACTATGCATATTAGTAATAAATTTAAGTTTTAGTTCTTAATTTTTACTAATAAAAAAATTTCTTTTTTATAATTAGATGGTTTTTTTTTTCTTAGGGCCAATGGCTATGGACATCCGGTAATCTTATGGTAAAATTAAAACAAGCCCAATTGAGGAAAGAAATAAAAGAAAAAGAACTAAATAAAACATCATCTATAAAAGATGGTGATATTTTAAAAAAGAATGAATGAGTTAGTCAGTTTTCTCTCTATTAATAATACTATTGCCTAGATCTAATTTGCCAATTAAAGAACTGCTACTATAAAGCAGATCTCAAAAAATATCATATACATTTTAGATGTATATTAAAAATACACTTATTATTTTTTTTTTAATGGGATTGTAGTGGCTGCCTTTCTTAAAAAATGAAATGTATGTAATTCTAATTTTGTTTTCAAATTTGACAATATTGGATTGTTTCAATATACTAAAACTTTATATTCTATTTTAGAAACATATTTTGCATTTTTAAAATTATTTTAATTGTGAATAATTTATATGTTATGATAAATATTTTAATATTGGCAGTTACGTTTTCAATGAAAATTACATCCTTTTTTTAAATTGTGTATATTCAAAATTCATTTATAAAAAAAAAGTAGAAAAACTTGCAAAAAGTTTATTATTGAAATTCAAAGCATTAAATTAAAAAGAATTTATTTTAAAACATTTCATATTGTTAAATTCATTATACAGAAAAAGCAGTTTTCATATTTTAAATATATATTCACTTTCAATTTTTAGAAGTTAAAAATGCCTTAAAATAGCAAAATATCAATCACATTTTAAAAATGAACAAAACAAAGCCAGCACATCATTAAATAAATTTACTGTTAACTCATCTCTTATTTTATTGTAGAAAAACAACATTAAGTGATTAATTTGTGAGAAAATTTATTTTATAAAGTTTTTGCTTCAAAACATTTTTCAAATATTTAGAGAGGTTGCAGCCGACGTTTTCAACACGAAAATGTATACGTCGGACATTTAGCACAGTCTTCCTGTAAGCCTAGATGTTTGACAATGGCATTTGGAATGTCAGTGGAATCATGCTCAACATTCCAAATGCCATTGTCAAATGTTTAGGCTTACAGGAAGGCGGCGCTGAACGTCTGACGTACATGTTTTCGCATTGTCAACGTCAGCCGCAACCTCTCTATTATTGTAAATGATAGGCATTATTAGAATGTTCCTGTTAATAAGAAATATGTTTATAAAAATTATAAATCAAATTTATTATAAATTTGAATGTATTGCAATATAACAAAATTTAAGAGTTAACTGTTTAAAATTATTCATTGTTTGATGATTTTAATTTGATATTTATCTTGTTTTATTATGTTCAAACACTTTCTATGTAATTTAAGGAGTCACTCTATTTTAATTCAAGTTAAAGGCTTTGAGATTATTCAATTTGATGATGAGATGAGACTATCTTGTACTCTTTAAATCAGAATTAAAATAGTGTTACTCCTTACATTATACAGTGAGTGTTTGTCGACTCTATCAACATTATATTACAATTTAAAATGATATCTAGTTTCATATTTAATTCATAAAAAGTATGCAGTTATTTCTTAGTTTGTAGTAATCAGAAAATTGCCAGTCATCATATAACAGTGTTAAGCAACTATTTCTTTGTGCAAGCTGCAAGAAAATATAGGCTTCTAGTAGGCTGCATACATTTTTTTCTTATGGAGTCGTAGACTTTAATCCTGCTGAGTACCAACATACTCCATAGCTGCCAATACACTATATACCAAAATAATATATGTTAACTAGTAATATATAGTTTATTCTCGTATTTTTATTGGTCATGTTTAGTTTGAATGTTCTTCATAACAAACATCAGCTAATACTGCATAATGGCATAAGGCAGAAAACAGGAAAATAAAATTACATTGCCAAAGCTCCAAGGACTGCATGCTACCAGGAGATGCAGGTTACTTATGACTGTTGTATATCAAATTCATTTCATAAGAATGCTATAAGCTATATAATGAATTTTTATATTCTGTATCACGTTAGATGACATTAAGAATTCTGTTTAATGTATTGTTCAGACAAAATTGAGGATGTTTATTTCATAGAAATGATTTTTTTATAATTTGCACTTAACTTTTCAAAATTTAAAGTAAATATACATTATATATATAGTAATAGATGATAATTTTTTTTTTGAAGATATAATTATATCTGAAACTTGTGAACATTAAGGAGAAGTATCAAATCTAGATATCAGGTGCTGATTTTTCTGTAATTTTTTAATTTGGAATAGATTAAAGTTTTGTAAGTTCCTATTTATGAGATTTCCTTTAAAAGTATAGGATTATCTTCTGTTATCTATACAAATTAATCTTGTATAAATTGACATTGTAATTTTTCACCATTCCTCCTTCAAATATGGTTGAATATATAAAATAAACTTTAAACTAAAATAATTATTCACTTCAGTTATAAAATATAATTTCAAAAATCTTCCAAGGTGATTTTTGAAATTATTTTGTTAGTTATTTTGCAATTTTCTTGAAAGTAGTAGTAATTTCTTATAGAGCAGTGGTTCCCAACCCCCCGGCCACAGACTGGTACCGGGCCACCCAAGGAACATTAAATTATTTCCATTTTATTTACTGTGGTATTTCTTCGGATTTGTACGACTTTTAATGGATGACAGAACAGAATAAACTGGACATAAGAAATACACTTCAGGTGTCGTTGTCTCCTATTACCCCCAGGTGGAACTGTCTCGTTGCAAAGAAACAAGCTCAGGATTCTCATTGATTTAGCATTCTAGTGAGTTAAAATCTTAAATCACATATATTCATTTTTTGGTGTAACTGTATATTACTTTGAAGGCATTTTTAAATACAATTAAATTAAAATTATTAAATTNCCGTTCTGTTCACTGATGGGCCGTTTTATTTCGGCAAAGGTCTCCATCGATTCGTTTGCGTTTTCGTTTTCGAGTGTATCGGACGTATTTTTCTTGGCGTTTTATAGTTATATTGAACTCTACGTTCTTTAACCCTTTTCATGTAGATGTAAATATGATGCCCGCTCATTTGCAAGAAAATTCGATCAACTTCGAAGCCTAAATTTTATTTACACAAGATAAAACTGAAATATTTTGAATAAAAGAGTGTTTTAAACTAGAAACGAGTTTAAAACGCTATGGAATGAAATCAAATTGCTAATTATGCCATTTCCAACTTCTTGTGTCGTAGATAAGGATTTAGTGCCGTTCTTCAGTTGTGCAAAGAACGAATCGTTTGCAAATACAGTAACTCGAAAAAGTGATTTGAATTATTTTTAACTAGTTTTCAACAAAATATAAACAAGTTGGCTCAACTTCGTCGGCCTAGATGATTACGTTAATACTTATTTATCTTAATATACAACTCTAGAATTGACAACTAATTGTTGCGAAATTTGTATTTGAATAAATAATTATTTATTTATGATTTTTTTATAAAACATAAAAAGTATAAAATAATATTTGATAAAGAAAAGGGGGCGATATTAAAATTTCTTTCGACACTTATAAAGGGGGCGATAATTCTATAAAGGTAGAGAAACACTTATTATTGTCTAATAATAATAATAATAATGAATAGTAATTTTCAAGGTACTAATTAATAATGATCATTTTCAAGGTCTGCACTATCAATATCAATGAATACTAATTGTGTACAGGTAGAATGATAGTTCTGTTGCTATAAGTGTTAATAATAAATTATCGCATAGTTTTTTTATATACAGTAATATAAATTTGATTATAAATTATGCGATAAACAAATCTCAAATATTACATCGAAATATTAATATATATATATATTGTATTTAATCAAATTTAAACGCTTAAATTTCTTCAAGTAACATTTTACAACATGTAAAATAAAATGTATTGTTCTTCTGACTTAAAATTATTGAATGTTAGCAAAACAGCGCTAATTTAAACTTATGTTTGCTATTAAATATATAGTTTAAACACTTTATCGTGCGTTTATGAATCACATATAATTATTTCCATTATGAAATGCATTATAAACTATTTGTCATACTATTTTGTACACTATTAATTAGAAATTAAGATTCTTCAAAACAGATTGATGGCTACTACTTGTTTATCTGGACAGATGATAAATAAATGGGTTTGTCGGAAATTTAGTTTAAGGCTATTGACAAACATCAAGATATAGGCCTATGCTTTTATCTCGCCTAACTTTCTAGTTTAACTGGTAATTCATTAACATTAAATGATGGATTCTATACCAACGATGACTAATCATCATCTTAATGCAAGTTGTAGCTATTTGGGTCACGGACCAAAAATCAAAATAAAGTTTTAAAAAAATTTTGAATATATAATTTGAAAACAAAATACATGAATAATGTTTACTTAATTTTTAAACATTTAAGACTAAAATAAAAAGTAATAAAATATTAATATGATTAAGAATTAAAATATTTGTTTGCATTGTTCTTAATTTTTAATATTAATTAATATGTATTCTATTGTTACAGCAAATTGCTTTTACAGATGATCATGATTATTTAAACTTTTATTATGGTGAAAAAGTCAATGAAACACTTGACAGAAAAACAAAATATTTTAATCTTCAGTTTTTTCTCTAAAATTTTCATATTTTAATTTGATCTACAAATTCTTTTAATCTGTTTTTGTAATTATAAGCTGTTACTTCAGAACTAGACTTAAATAAATAAAATAGATTCTAAATAAATGCCAACATATAAAAACAAAAATTAATTGATTTAAAATATTTTATATAAATTTGTTTTTATGATATTTTAATTATTAAAAATATCTAATAGTTCATAAATTAATAAATTTTTTACATAAATATTATACTGCAAATGATGGATTGAAAGGTATAAGAATTCTATATTTACTTAGTTTTCTAGTTAATAAATTCTTACTTTTGTCATATTTGTTTGATTAAAAAATGATTTTTGCTCAAACTTATCAAAATGTTACATTCAGAAATTAAACCAGCAAATTTAAAAAATATAATTTAGATTTAAACACAATACCTTTTTAATTATGCAATACCAAATGCCTAGTCTGTGAACAAAATTCACAGACTAGGTAACTGGTCAGAAATTGTTATAACTTAGATGGGAGGTGCTATCACACCAATCATATTTGCCAGATCAGGCACCCTCAGATTATTACTTGTTCTGGTCTATACAAAATTTTTTAAACTGTAAGACATTTACTTGAAATGAAAATGTCAAAAATCACTTAAATCAGTTTTTGTAAGCAAAGATCAAAACTTTTATGAACGTGGAATCATGCTACTACCAGAAACGATGACAACAGGTATTTGACCAAAAATGGTCAATATATAATTCAATAAAANGTCTGTGAACAAAATTCATCAAATTTTAAGTTGTATTTGTAGAAAGATTGCTTAGAATCTTTATTCAAAGAAATCAAAATTGAATATATATATTTAGAAAATTGGTGCACA